CTGTAATAATGATCACCCATAGTGTTCTGTGTGTAACTAAGGCTCAATCTCTTGTGGAAATTGAGTTGGTAGAGTTGCACCCCTTTGGCCTGCCAGGATCCTTATGATGATCAAGGGTTGGCCCTGATTATCATGTGATTATGATCCTTGGTTTGTCAGCACCATACCTGGGGTTAACATTTTAGACCTGCATCGTGTTAGGCTTTCCTCCAGCATCACGCCAACACATAACTGAAATACTGATCAAAGCAGCATTAATCCCAACTTACTCACTTTAGTGTGACCTCACAACACAGATTGGACCTGGCCACTAGTCAGAAACAAGGTAATATTGTAGGCACTCCCAAATATCCCAGAGATTTGTTTGTTTGTTTATCAGCAATACTCCAGCAATATCACAGCGGTCTGTAAGTAATCGAGTCTGGACCAGACAATCCAGTGATTGACAACATGAGCATTGATCCACGCAATTGGGATACGACAACATGCATCAACCAAGTCAGCGAGCCTGACCACCCTATCCCGTTAGTCGCCTCTTACGACAAGCATGCTCGCCTTTTACGGCAAGCATTGGTTACTGAAGACCTATTCTACCCTGGATCTTCATGGCCACTATAAGCATGATAAGAGAACCTTTTCACATTTTAAGCATTTTGCATGTTTGGGTGGAAAATTTAAACTGGTTACTCAGTAAGGGTAACAGATACAATGGGTATTTGGTGGGTTGACCGTTCACAGAAATTATGACATATTTTGATGGAATTTAGAACACAATAAACGGGTATTTGAACCTAGTTTATCAGCTGAATATGCTTTCCTGTCATTACTGCTTGATATTGTATTTGTTATGACTTAACCTCTATAATAACAGGGCCAGAGGTTAATGAGCAGGTGCTGTCCGTGGCCCTGATTACTTACCTGCATGGGTAGTCCAGATAACGTGTTCACCGGCTTGGCAATGGCTCATTTAGTATTGTATACTACACCATGTGTTCTACTGGCATAGGCCTTCAGATTAAACTGGAGATAGACATTGATAGCACCATGCTTAAACAGACATAGATCAACCCGCTGAAGTTTGAGGCCAGGTATTACACAGGTGTTGTGGTGGAGTGGGGAAATAATGTTTGCGTATAACGGAGTTCATGTGTGGAAGATTAAGGTAATATTGTCTTGTTGAATAGATAGTAAATTTACTTATAATGTGATAAACATACCGGAGCTGTGATTTCAGTTTTCTGATTGTTTTGTTTTGGCTCTGAGCCTTGTCTTGACAATTTGATCAAAAGCATGAAATTATTTACTTTCCCATTTAATCCAACCGTGCTTATAAATTAATTTGTAACAACCAGCTTCAATTTTTAAGGCAAGCAGAATGGATTCCTATGCACCATTTGCCCAAATGGTGTTTGTTTCCTGCTAGCTCAGACATGTCTTGGTATCATTTACAGTGGATTTTAGCCATAACATGGTCACATGTCACAAGATGTGCTTTCTAGACCAGAATTTCTTTTACGACATTGGGGCTTAAAAAATGGACTCGTGGCAAAAGTTGCTGAGTGCGTACACTTTCGAAACCTCATTATGAAATCCACGTACAATCCTCTTGATGTTAGAAATGTTGCAGAACCTACTTCAAAGTAAGGGAAAAGTGAAGACAATAGGACAATGAAATCTGGATGTTACAAATCCTGTGGATGTTATGTAATAGTCAGTGCTTGTTGATAACTTCCGGAATCCACACATTCAAGTGATTTCTCCTGCTTAAACCATGTTATTTTTTATTTATGATTTCTCTATAATTTTGACCTATAGTTGCAAAGGCTTGCTTTACCAAAATTGCACATTCAGAATGGCCAGTGAATTCCTGGCTCAGAATCAACTGCAATGACAATAACTTTGAATCCGAATGGTTGTTGTTGTTTCTTTGAACATTGGAGGAGGTGGGTTAGCCTTGTGGTTGAAGCGTTCGCTCATCATGCCAAAGGCTTGGGTTCAATTTCCCACATGGGTTCAATATGTGAAGCCCAATTCTGGTGTCTCCTGCTGCGATATTGCTGGAATATTGCTGAATTCACCCTAAAACCTGTACTCACACTGCGAACATGTGGTGTTCAATCAGTCACCAGTAACAATGTAACTCCATCGGAAGGATTAGGAATTATCTGTTTCTCCTAGTTTTTTTATCAGATTTTATCAACCTTCAATTTAATGTTGGATATATGAGGTGACAGTTTGTTAATCAGCATATCGGGAATCTGTAGCACCTGGTTCAGTGGTTAATGAGAGTGAAATTCTTTTGGTCAACTAGTTGAAAGTTAAGTGTTCGTTCCTATGTGGGGCGGTTGGGTAGCCTAGTGGTTAAAGCGTTCGCTCGTCATGCTGAAGATCCGGTTGGATTCACCACATGGGTACAATGTGTGAAGCCCATTTCTGTTGTCCTCTGCTGTGATATTGCTTGTATATTGCTAAACATGCTAAAAGCAGGGTGAAACCATACTCACTCACTCACTCACTCACTCACTCACCCACCCACCCACCCACCCACTCACTCACTCACTCACTCACTGGGTCCCTGTTAGGATGAGATAGTTATGTGACTGTTAACCCTCAAGTGCCAAACAGGCAGCTTGGGTTGTATACTCATTGTCATTGTGACATGCTCACAACAAAAATCCATGCGTAATTTCCAACATTGATCAACAGATCATGCAAGACAGCACAAAAGTAACAAAACAAATAACATTATACCATGTATACTTTATTCTATACAGAATATTGTAGAATCTTTTCCCGTCTCACCAAGACACATGCCACATGTACAAGCAACTGTTAGGGGAGTGAACATGGTGAAAGTCGGGTGTAAATTGTTTGTGGTGCTATTATTATTCCACACAATGCTTCGGCAATTGAGCTGTCTTTCCGTGACGTGCATCATGAGTGTGCTGACATCACAGTGGTCTCATTCTATTAAGACAAATGCAGCGCAAACTCTGCGCAGTACACTGTCAACATTATCTGCATTGTGACACCTACCCAACAACACTGTGAGGATTCGTGAGCATGACGAACACAGAGATACCTTTTTTAGTTTTCTACGCTTGTAGGATTCTCCCGAAAACTTCACACCCTGATACATTCTGCACAGTGTTGCCAATTTCCGTCTTGAAAAATACGGAACTACGAGTTGAATTAAAAGCATGTTCCCCAGATTATTTAGTTGGAAGTGTTCCAATAGCAACATTTCAACGTGTTAAATAAAAATGCGTTTCAGGAACTTGTGAAAATAGGTAATTTTTAATCAGTTTTTATATATATTTTATAGTATCAGAATAATGTTTCATTCACTTTTTATTTGTAAGACTGATATTCATGTCACTGCGTATGACCTTCCTGTTTCCATGGTTACTGCTGATCAAGGCACAGTGAGAATTAATTCTGTCAATATTGAATGATTTTGATAGAAATGGGTTTTTTATGTGTCCCAGGAAATCATGGTGTTCAGGTGTGTCTTTTTGGATGTCAGTATCAGGCCTCAAAGTTTAATTTTTTACCAAGTAGCCACATGGCTACAAGTATTTTTTTCCCAGATAGCCTGAGTGGTAAAATCAAGACGTCAAGCCAATATTGTAGGTAGCCAAAAGCATTTGAAATTATCTTTTATCAAATAACTATTATATGTAAAAATCATAGCACTTGTCTTGGAATTGTATATTAGTAGAAACTGTACTTGAGTTTTGTTATTTGTGACTTGAACAATTTATGTTACTAGATTATATACGTATATCTTTGCTTATCCAAGAAACTATTAACTGAAATAAAATACTAATTACATTAATATTTTGGCAATTTGGTTCATTGTTGACTTTAGGATGAATTATTTGCGATTACAATTCGTAGCAGACATGTTTATTTTTGTGTCTACATATAGAAATAGAAATAGAATTAAGTCGCTACAAGATATTTTTCAAGGTAGTCATTTGGCTACCTCTGAATTTTGGACAGTGGACAAATTGAAATTTAGGTTGCATTGGAGACCATTTTAGTCGCAACTTTGAGGCCTGAATATGCCAACAACATCTTCAAACAAGAACAAAACTCTTCAATTTTAATTGAAATACTGTTAATTAAATTTCTTTATCAATTTCAATGTCCAGGTTACTTATGTGAAAGTGGACAAATACCTACATCATATAATACATGTAATACACAGCACCACAAAGTATTTAAAAAAAATAAATTCTAAGTGTTCTGTTACGACACTTAAATTATTTTTTTACTCATAAGTTCCTATGGCACTCGAAAACTACAAAGTTGCAAACCCAGAACACTGAGATAAATTATCCAAAGGGGGCTAAATATTTTTCTTATACATTCTGGCTATGGTAACAGTAATATTTCATTCATAAGTTGAATGTCTTATTTGTCAATGGTCACTGTGTACTTAAATGCTGTCCTGTTCCGTATTATATAGAAAGCAGAGAATCAGTTACCTAATAACAATGCGAGCACACAATGATAGAATGTTCCTCTGATGAAACTGAAAGTTCATGGTCCACAATAGACATTCTATCAAAAGAGATTCAAGCCATTTCATTCACAAGTTGTATGTACACATAATTATGAATATTGGCACTTACTGGTCATCTCAGCTGCTGCAGCGTGTTGATACAGCCAATCTGGCAGCATCACCGTGACAGTGATGTTTGTCATGTGATGTGGTCAATCAAGCCACAACTCACAGGGCACCTGTCTGTTTGGGGGGGGGGGGGGGGGGGGGGAATTTGTACCTGTGTTGGTAATGATTGACATGACAGATGAGGATCAACATTCCCGAGCCCTCCATCCCTGTGACAACATTAGCCTGACAAACACCGACGCTGCGTACCCAATTGACGCAACAGCCTCGACGACCATCACACCTCTCCTGCTCCACACCCAAGCCAGTCAGAGAGCAACAGGTCTTGGACGTACATGGAGCTGTGGCATCTCGGGGGCAACTCACAAGAATATCTTGCCTACTCGGTGCTAACCTCATGCATCTCTGTGTGATTTAATAATCTGTTTTTATTTCTTGGTGGATCATAAGTGTAAAGGACATTCATATCTCGATCTTCAAATCTGGAATTTTTCTCATCCTTGGATTTGTTGTGAAAATTGTTGTCAATACCGAAACTGGTACGCATTGATCGGCAATATTTGACACCATAAAGATGTGTTTGTGTTGGATTGTGCGTTTTGGGTGACAATTCGGGGGAATATTGTCACCTGCATTGACTGGATGTTGTCACTCCCGTGGTGACCGCATGTCAAGGATTAACCAGAGTGGTGCTCCTGTTGACAAGTGGTACAACTCAACCCCCCATTGTTCCTCACAGACTTCAGATGGTCCTCGTCAGAGTTACAGTATAGCAGCACCAAGACGTTATACAGTATAGCAGCACCAAGAAGTTATACAGTATAGCAGCACCAAGACGTTATACAGTATAGCAGCACCAAGAAGTTATACAGTATAGCAGCACCAAGAAGTTATACAGTATAGCAGCACCAAGAAGTTATACAGTATAGCAGCACCAAGAAGTTATACAGTATAGCAGCACCAAGACGTTATACAGTATAGCAGCACCAAGACGTTATACAGTATAGCAGCACCAAGAAGTTATACAGTATAGCAGCACCAAGACGTTATACAGTATAGCAGCACCAAGAAGTTATACAGTATAGCAGCACCAAGACGTTATACAGTATAGCAGCACCAAGACGTTATACAGTATAGCAGCACCAAGAAGTTATACAGTATAGCAGCACCAAGAAGTTACACAGTATAGCAGCACCAAGACGTTATACAGTATAGCAGCACCAAGACGTTATACAGTATAGCAGCACCAAGACGTTATACAGTATAGCAGCACCAAGAAGTTATACAGTATAGCAGCACCAAGACGTTATACAGTATAGCAGCACCAAGAAGTTATACAGTATAGCAGCACCAAGACGTTATACAGTATAGCAGCACCAAGAAGTTATACAGTATAGCAGCACCAAGAAGTTATACAGTATAGCAGCACCAAGAAGTTATACAGTGTAGCAACTGGGTGCTCAATGGTGGACCAAAGTTGTGACACTTGGTGACATTTGATGTTTTTCACATACCAAGCTATGAAGTAAATGTCTGGACTGGACACATTTAAGTCTTCACCCATACCCGTTGAAGTTTCTTTTTCTGCTGACTGAAATTTAGTTTCACAGGAAATATTTAAATATTGTGGTTCATGGACATTATATTTGTGTTCCTGCATGCATGTGGAAGTGTCTGTTTCCTTAGATTAATGGACAAACAACAGTAAGAAGTAAGGAAACAGTGTGGTTTTTACATATCACAGCTTCCTGTCATCCTGACCTTTGACATTGTTGTGACCGTTCCGTCTCACGAGAGACTTCATCATCTGTGACAGCACACTGCACACTCCGCTTCGACTTGCTCGTTACGAAGAGCTGGATGAATATTCGTTGCAACATGTCGAAAAAGTGGACAACTTGCGTTCAGGTCCGACACAAGCCGAAGGTAGGAGGGTGGTTTAATGTCACATGGCTTTGAAGTTGGAGTCATCTTTTACTTGTTACAAATATTTCTCTTTTTGTTTGGAGAATTTTTTTTGAGTCTCTTTAAAGTTGTCTTGCAGCCTTGTTAAAACATGGTGGCAACATGTTTGTAGGCTGAAAGGCCATATCAGGGGGAAAGGTTTTCCTTGTGGGGCATGGAGAAATACCTTGTTTATGTCAATTAACTGTCAAAGTCCTGCTGGGAATACAACAGACCTGACTGCTATTCCCAGTGCTGAAATTTAAGGAACTCTGTGCGTTTGTGTGGTATTTGTGTATAGGAGGAGATGATGGCATGAGACCTGTTGACATATGCATGTTATTTCACTTCTTCACGTAAACTTGCAAACTCGATTTCACTAACCAGGTACAATTTGATCATTTAAAAAATCTGTAGGTTTTAACTATATTTTTTTATTTATGGAATTTGACTTTCTAAAATGCCGATCCCTGACTACCCTGGTCGGGGTTTTCCCTTCTTTTAATTTTCGACATTAATTTGTAAATGCTTGTATTAACGTGAATACATAGAGTCAAACACCATTGCGTCAATCTTTGGTGTGTCAAACTTAAGTTTGTCTCAAGTGAAAGCTTGGTCCCTGTGTATTCCTTCTTTATTTATCATTTTCGGTTGTGTTGAACCCCCGATAACTCGAAGTATTTTGGTAGGTCCCTTCAATGTCAACACAACGGTGTTTGACTTTTTTAATTAATAACATGAATGAAACCAACGAACTGATAAATTCTACCAACATTGAATTTTTTTTATAAATGATGACAAAGTTTTTACGTAAAATTCCAAATTGGAAATTAGAAATCCTTGTCACCCAAAGAAGTGACAAAGTCGGCGAGCCATGACTGTGTGCAAACTCTGTGTGGTTATTATTCCAAGCCTTAGGAGAAGTTAATGCACGGTATCTGACAGTCTATGGATCGGCCACAGGGATGAATGGACAAGCTGGGACTGTATCAGCACTAGCTGCTATTTTCAGATTGAAATCCTCTAAAAAAGGTGTAACATTCTTCAAACACTGCTACCTTATACCTGGTGCTCTGTTGACAAATGTTAATTAAGTGTAGATTTACCTGGACTTTGTAAACTTCTTTTTTTTCTCACTCCTTGAAAACGTCATGTTCACCATATAATTGTTTTTTTAATAGTGTTTCCAATTGCACTTTACATGGGTTGGAATTTGTTCATGAGAGACAATGATTATTGTGTTGTCAGGTTTTTTTTGGCTGCATGGCGTGTTAGTCTCAGGATTGTTTAACATTGTCTACACTGGATCTATCATCAACATGGTCGTGTTTGTCGTTGTGAACAAGGCTCCTCTGTTGATGTGTTAATTGGCACGTACGAAAACTAATCAAAAGAAGTACCACCCGATTATTTCTTATTACTATAGTTGATCTGTCATGTAGCATAAATGCATAGTTGTATTTACTCTGGGGTTGACTTGCCCAGTGGACTTAAGTGCTGTAATGTGATATACGGAGTTGCCTCCCTTACCACTGCCAGGATCTGCTTTTCTGTTTCCAATTCCCACATCGTTGGTGCCAGTCTCTCACCAGCCACAAGCCGACCGTGAAGGAATACATGTTTATTATGTTACTTACACAGCAAATTTCAGCACCGACGACGACAGGGTCACCTTGCTCCTGTTTGCAATTAAGCAACTTAGGGTTCATGTAATAATGTTGAACGTTAGAAATTCAGAGGATTCCTAGATTCAAATACCATTGAGCAATCCTTAAGGACCCAGGACCCCTTTACTTTTAAACAAGGTGATCAAGTATAAAGGTCACTAAGCAGTGATTGCTTAGGGATTTTGATGGTGATCATATCGGAACACCAAGCAGTTCCCCCCTACTGTATTTTTAACCCATGAAAAGAAACAAATTTGCTTGTTTATTATCCTGTCAATATTTATCACAAAGAAAGTTAATTCATTGTTGATTAATTGCTAATGAGTTGGTGAAACTCAAACAAAATGTTGTTTTTTCTCCACAACCAGAAGTATTCTCAGCTGTGACTTGTAAACAAACGTGCATCAGGAACATATTTAAATATATTTTCTTCAAGTAGCCAGGACACTGACATGAATGGGTTAAAGAGAAAAGAGGAATGACAAAAAGCATCCTCAGTGCATAAAAGATCTCTCATCCTGACAGGGACGTAGTGTTGGTATTTGACAAATGACAGACTCCCACGCTTGTCCTTCCCCAGTACATGCCGCTGCACTGTATACCTCTTACCTTACGCATAAACGTGGAATTCTGATTGGCTGAGACCCATTCTTTTATTTTTAGTGTACCCCACTAACGTGTAAGGTACATTTCTTGTTCCCCGCTTGAATTGCCAAAATGTTGACTTTACATTTGCAACATACCAACCGCCATTTTGTATCTCGAATTAATCTTGTAAGACACCATTCTCAAGATATTTGCAATATTTTCCGAATGGATTAGATCAAGGAGGAATAACTCTAAATATGTTTGTGTCATCTGCTATTTATGTGCGGGAACATTAACTAACATACATTGAGGGTTGATCAACCCGACCTTCAACATAGGATTAACATTTTTACAGGCGACAATTCTGTAATTTTAGGTTTTGGGTTCAACCGGGCACAGGGGCGGTCGGGTAGCCTAGTGGTTAAAGCGTTCGCTCGCCACGCCGAAGACCCGGGTTCCATTCCAGACATGGGTACAATGTTTGAAGCCCATTTCTGGTGTACCCCGCCGTGATATTGCTGGAATATTGCTAAAAGCGGCGTAAAACCAAACTCACTCACTCACTCAACCGGGCACAGGAACCAGAAGCCACAATCAGAAAGTAAATTAAAAATAATTATCCCTATGGATTCAAACAATAAACAGGTAAATCTTCAAAACTTATACAAAATAAAATTGAATTTAACTTTTTAACTATTACTTGATCCAGTGTAGTGTCCGGCCATACAGACCTGGAAGAGAACAAAGTTTTCCTAGAAGTGTTCACGTTACTGTGAAATACTGAACATGATGACCCTATTTTGTACTTTGTTTTTATGTCTACTAGTCCTTGTGATACCTTAACTATGGGGCAGTTTTTCAAGGACTATAGAACTAGTGCCAATTTCTAATGGTGGAACTTGTGTAAATCATATCTCCATAAGGTGTGGTTGATGCATGTCATCGATCCCAATTGCATGGATTGATGCTCATGATATCGATCACTGGATTGTCTGGTCCAGACTCGATTATTTACAGACCATTTCAATTAATAGGTGGAATATTGCTGAGTGCGGCGTTAAACAACAAACCTAACCTGACCATAAGGTGTGGCTATATCTGTATAGCCGAGACAAACTGTCTGCATATCCCAAGCAAGTCTAGTAACTCTTACAAGTAAACTCTATTTGGTGAAGATTTCTGCAGTTTCTGTGAATGATTCTTTGGGATTCTTTTCATTTTTACATTATATATTTAAAACAATTTAACTCTCAAAATATAGTTTCAGAAATATTTTCATTTCCCAGACTTGATGTTAGTGCGTGACCCAGCACCTGGCAGTGGCTATACATCGGTCTCCACTGTCAGCTGCAGCTGCAGTGATGTGACTTCATAGTGAAGGACGGAGTGACAGGCCCCTGGAGAACTAATCCATCAAACTTGACATGTATTTTAAACATATTTAGTTGTACTTTCATCATGCTAAGCTGAAATCACAGGAAATGAATATTTGATCCACCTACGATCTGTTTGACAATCTTCTTCTCCCTTTGAGTTTTATACAGTTAATTAGCAGGAAATATTAAATACACAATGCCTAGGATACATTGGTTTTAATAACCACCCATCTTTGTCAATGTTCCACTTGCCCATGACACTTATTATGGCGAGTACGGTTGGTCATGCATCGATACAAAACAAGACGGGTATGAATGGAGGTGAGATGAAGCGTTGTAATTGTACAGTTCTGTTGATGATACAGGACAGGGAGATTCGTATGAAAGGCTGCATCGGCTTGGGTTTTCTTCCCTCTCAAGCGGACACACTTTGATTGGTTGGTTGGTTTGTTGTTTAACGCCGCACTCAGCAATATTCCACCTATATGATGGCAGTCTGTAAATAATCGAGTCTGGACCAGACAATCCAGTGATAAATATCATGAGCATCAATCCACGCAATTTGGATCGGTGACTTGCATCAACCAAGCCAGCGAGCCTGACCACCCGATCCCGTTAGTCGCCTATTACGACAAGCATAGTCACCTTTTACGGCAAGCATGGGATGCTGAAGACCTATTCTACCCCGGAATCTTCATGGGTCTGACACACTTTGAAATGACAGATTTAAGTACTGATCAAAGCAGTATTAAACTCAACTCACTCACTCACTCACTCACTCACTCACTCACTCACTCACTCACTCACTCACTCACTCACTCACTCACTCACTCACTCACTCACTCTCACTCACTCACTCACAAATTGGGGTTTTGTATCCACTAGACCATGTAATCAGTCTCATATGAAAGGTGTACCCGTGGACCAGACATTCATATTGTGTGGTTTATTATAACCAGCCTATATGAATCATCTTGTAGTTTGAACTGCCCACACCCCAGATCCATGTGGACTTCTGGTTTTCAATAGCCATGTTCCTCTGCCGGCCAGTGTCCAGTTTTGTTCACACAGGTCCGAGGCGAGGTCACCCTATCTTGAGTAGCAACAGAAAGAATTTACAGAAATATTTGTCCAATTATCTGCACACCCTTTCAATTTGTTCAGTAACAATGGCGGTGAGGGATATCCCTGAACAATCTGTAACAGGTGGGGGCGAAGGTTTGCGGTCTTTATTTGACATCACGTGCTAGTCTTTGAGGCAGAGTTAGTGTGGCGGTGAGGATGTTGGAGAGGTTGATCTGGTACTGAAGAGGGCAAGTTCGTTCTCCACTTGTTTGTAGGGCTAAGTGGG